GGGGGGGGTATTTACCCCCAGGATTCTAGGGGGGGGTATTTACCCCCGGGATTCTAGGGGGGGGTATTTACCCCCAGGATTCTAGGGGGGGGTAAATAACCCCAATAACCCCCCTTATATCCGCCACTGACTAGTCTTACTTCTAATCTATAAGGAGAAAATTGTTAAAAACGACTTGTACTGAAGAATGTAGCGTCCATACAAATTCAGAAAGTTGCAATATTCCACTCGGATTGTAAAAAAAATCAATTTTATTTCAATTAAATCACTCAGATATTACAACCGAATCTTGGTGATGACTGACTAGTTTAAGCCCAGACCGATCATTTTATCCTTCTAAGCCGTGGTTCATGCATATTGGCTTGAATTTAAACCAGGATTTGGTGCAAGGCTGGCTTTGGTTTTCCACACTTAAAAACATGTGTCCAAAGCATGTCTTCTGGGTTGGCATTTTCAAACGACAAATATTTCTCCACATTGGTGACTTATCATTCGCCCCACTTTCCGTCCAACCTATAGCTATATACAAAAGAGCTAAAATGTTGTCCTGTGTATAGGGCAGACTAATTGCAATCCAAGCTTAGCTCCGGGTTCATTGAGGACTGAAGGGTTACACCCCCTTTCATTTCTCGCAAACACTCCCTTTAAAGTTATTTCTTTTTACCCATGGAATAGAAATGTTGGTCCTCTGCATTTTGCAGGTAATTCCAAGCTGTATAAAGGTATACAGCTGACTTTACATTTCTCCTGAAAAATAAAGTTAATTTTAAATGTTCTAGGCTTTTGGGTGGTTATACCTTTTCTATTAACAACTCTAGCTTTGAATTTGAAGTTGGCATTTTTATTGTTCTCAAAATTTGGTACACTTTTATAAAATAATTAATGTCAACATACTTATAGATATGCAAAGATAAAGATTGTATACCTGAGAAGCGTGATACAATCACTTTCCGTTATTCTAGAATCATCTTCAATTTCAACCATGAAAGCTGAAAATGATTTAATTAGGGATGAAAATATCAAAATGAAAGAATTATTAACAGAGAAATTACTTGCCTACATGTCTTTCTGTTAATTGTTTATGAAACAAAATCATTATCCAGGGAGCAAGATCTCCTTCAGAGCAACACCACTTTATAAAGACACTCATAACCTGAGAGCCCAAGTTGAACCTTGACCAACTTGTCCAGAAACATTGATTGTGGTATTCTAAAATTATACATTTTAGTACAAGTTTTGTGCAAATATGAATGAAGGAGAAAAATTAATAAGAGGGTTGAATAACAATAAAGAGTTTTACTAATTTAGAAATTGTGCAAATAGTGAGAATCGAATTCCAGATAAAATAAAAAAGCAACGTTTTGCATAAAGTTAAAAGTTTTCAAGATATTCTATTATCAAATAATTACATACCTAAGAATTTGATTTCCTCCACAGTATAAAGGTCTAGTAGGGTTGGAACCCCAATGTTCAAAACGTATTCCAAAATATCTGAGTCTTTTAATTTCAATTTAACCAGTGACAATGTTAACTACAAAAATTAATCGTTTTTATTTTTGGAAAAAAAAATAATTTCGTTTTGTTTACAAGGAAGAAAAAACGAAAACCAAAACAGTATAAAGAATCATTGATTGTTTTTAAAAATGATTAACAACCCTGATTACAATGTTATTAATTTACAAAAATCAAATTGTAATTTTGCTGTGTTAAATTTCCTTCATGCTGATCTTGAAAATCACTGTTTTCCAGAGTACTGTCTGAGGTGCAAACTAAATTATTAAATTATTTAGATTTATTCACACACTAAAATTGTTTCGCGAGCTCATGTTGCGATCAAAAGTCTAGGAAGCATCCCTGATTGGCGAGTATTCACCCCTGAACGTAAGTTTTGTATTTCTAAGAAATCTGAAGTGCAGAACCAGTTTTTGCCAACGTGTAATGTTTACTCTGCTCACGGGCGGAATTCCATGTTTTTTCTTAGTATTATCGGTATTTTTGAGAAGGATTTATTCTAGTTAAATATATTCATATATCGTGCAAGTGTCGGAAGGACTAATGTGGTAAATATACTGTTATTTTATATTGAATTGTATTGATCTTATGTTTTGTATTTAACCTTATATTTAATCGATATCTTCATACTACAGTTTTTTTAATGCCTAGATAACATCCTGTTATGATTTAGTTGATGGATGAATGTATTTTGCCATTTTGTACAGTAAAACCCTTAATAACGAATACATCGAAAGAATTCATCAAATGTCGTATTCTTCACTTTCTGATAATGGAATGTTTCAGATATTTAGTTTTTTAATTAAATGATTATATGGAACTCTTTAAAACTGTTCCAGCTTATTCATGTATATTTATTTATTTTCGCAAATACTGAAATTTACGTAATATAGTAGTATAAAACTCATTGAAAAATTGTCAAGACGACATTTGATAAATTCTTCCGATGTATTCGTTATTAAGGTTTTCACTGTATTATCTGAAGCTTTTTCTAAAACTTGTTTATTTTGTCAGATTAAAGTTCTGAGCCTAAATAAAACTTGAAGATTATCCTGTTTGATTCATAATGTTATATTTGAAAGGATACCCACAAAGGCGGGTAACAATACTCTAGTAGTCTTCAAGTCACACACCAATAATAGAACAAAGTAGTTGAACATTTATATTAAAGAGAAACAAAATGAATGAATAAATAACTAAAGTCAACAGACACAGATTTGGCACTCAGTGATGGGTTACTCCTTTGGCCGGATACTCCTTTGCTGGATACTCCTTTGGCAAGATACCTCCTTTGGCTAGATACTCCTTGGCTAGATACCTTCAACAGGGATGGTTACAATAATAAAGAGATCTGATAGTAAAGGAGCTTACAGTCGATCCCAACGGAACACTACATGGTAGATTAGCTGGTTTACTTTAGGGCAACATTGTCAGTTGCGAAACAAAAATATACATACATATATTAATGGTGTAGTTTAATTTTTTAAAGAAATTTCAAACATGTATATAGTTTTACAAAAGAAAAAAAATATGCAAAATAATGCACAAATAGGCGACATTGACTATTACTCAGTTGAATTCTTCAATTATTCCTTTCTTGTATTTAATAGTTCTTGTAAAATCGTAACTTTCCATGCATGGTCTGATGGGACCTTGAAAATTTGGTAAGATAAACATCTTTATAACTGTTGTTCTCAAGGTCAAAATAAAAAAGGGTTCAATCTATTTAAAAATGTTTACCTTTGGACAGATCTTGATCTTGAATTTTCATCATAACAACACTTCTTTGTGAAGATCCTGGACCCTAAACACAAACTGCCATCACAGTTTGGGTCCCAAACTGATTACTACAGAGTTAAGACCTGCCCAAGATTGCTTTAGAGCTAAAAACTTTAGAACTGTGGATGCGAGCAATGCTTGATCTAGCGTATCCTGGTTTTCAAGTACCCCAGCAGGGATAGGGTTAATCTCAAGATTAACTTAATCTTAAGTTTGTATCCTGAAAGGTGTTTAAAATTCAACCAATTGAGTGGCGTAAGCAGAATCCCAAACAGCCAATCAAAATCAGGAAAATTTGAAATTTAGAGGAGCAATTTTATGAGAGAACTCTAATTGGTCAAAATCTGGTTGGGATGTGAAAAAGGGAGAAAAAGAGCAAGAAGTTAAAAGTGTCCATATTGAATATTCAGATTAAGTGATCGGAGCTGGGAACTTTTGTATGGGAGATATCGGGATAAATGCTTGATGCACTCTTTTTCTTAATCTCCAGAGTTGGGAACTTTTGAGTGGTGGATATCGGAATTAATGCTTGATCCACTCTTTTTCTTTATCTCCAGATTAAATAATGCTTGTTTTCTTCTTTATATTAATCTCCAGATTTATTTGCCGATCGGGATTAAGGATATTCCATTTTAAAGTTTTCAGCTCAGATTAAATAATGCTTCTTCTCTCTTGTTGTTAATCTCCCGATTTATTAACCCATCGGGATAAATGATATCCCATTCTAAAGTTTTCAGCTTGGGATTCAGAGCTGGGAACTTTATAATGGGGTATGTCAGGATTAATGCTTGATCCACTCTTTTTCTTAATCTCCAGATTAAATATTGCTTGTTTTCCTCTTGATATTAATCTACAGATTAATTAACAGATTGGAATTAAGGATATCCCATTCTGAAGTTTTCATCTCAGGATATCCAAATCTAAAGTTCTCAGATCAGGAGACTTATGCCCAAGAGATAAAATTATAAATAACAATTAATACCTGAAGTTCAAGATTTAGGTGAGTGTGAACAGGATTGTTCCCCATCACTAGAAAACAAAATGTATAAATTGCCACAAATTCTGAGATTTTCAAATGGTACCTGGATTTGCAGTCTTGTCAGAGAATGGATCCCTTCTAAACTTCTCATGATGATACAACATATATTTTTGAATAACTTTATCCAGGAAAGAATTCTCAACCTTTAATAAAGGAACTGCAGTAACCATATTTATATGTGACCTATATTATGCAAAGATAGAAATGCTCAATTTGTAATTGACAAATTTTTGACTTGAGAAGTCTTAACCTCTGTGAATTTCTCCATCATTTGGTAAAAGCAAAAGATGAGCAAATCACCCTCGGTAATTTCCTAGTATAAGATTTTTGGACCCCCCCCCCCCAGGAAAACCCCCCTCCTATCAATTTTGTACATGGGTGTGACAGGAAGTTTCTTAACTTAACCTAACCCGTGGCCGCAGCGCTCGGCCCAGAAAGTGTCTTAACTAACCTAACCCGTGGCCGCAGCGCTCGGCCCCCTAGCCCATCCTAGCCGCAGCGCTCGGCCCCCTAGCCCATCCTAGCCGCAGCGCTCGGCCCAGAAAGTATCTTAACCTAACCCTAAATAACAAAAAAATAAATAATAATAAATTTGCTGAAAAATAAATGGTCATGTACAAAATTGATAGGAGGGGGGGGGGGGCCTGGGGGGGGTCCAAAAATCGTATACTAGGACAGACCCTCACCTTTGAAGAGAAACCACACATAAGAAACAGGTTAGGTCATTTCCCCAGCGCAACTTCCCCAACACAATTTCCCCAGTCACAACTGCCCCAAAAGCAACTTCCCCAGCCGCTAATTTCCCCAACACTAACTTCCCCAGTCACTAATTTCCCCATAACAGCAACTTCCCCAACCGCTAATTTCCCCAACACTAACTTCCCCTGTCACTAATTTCCTCAACAGCAACTTCCCCAACACCAATTTCCCCATGAAGTAAAATTATTAATTTCCCCAACAGCAACTTAACTTCACAACGGCTGTTGTTACACATTTTGAATGTTTCCTTTTCTCCCCACAGTTCCAGAATGATTTAGAGTTGTCCCTTGACATTGATTGTAGGTTGGAATCATACTTTTTGGGATCCACCAGAACATTTCTCTTCTTCGAGGACAGTGTATAAACTGCCAACATTGTCGACTCATCTAATCCAACTGATTTTTTCACATTCAAAAATTTGCGATTTTTTTATTTTAAAATTGTGCATTTGTTCATTGAAGTAATGTTAAAAACGGAAATATTTGATATTTTACTGCATGGGGAAATTGTTGTTGGGGAAATTAGTGACTGGGGAAGTTAGTGTTGGGAAGTTAGTGTTGGGGAAATTGGTTTTTGAGAAAATTGCTATTGGGGAAGATGTCTCTGGGAAGTTGTGACTGGGGAAGTTGTGCTGGGGATCTAACTTAACACCAAATAAACAAAGTCATGCATTTCTAATTTATACTTGATCAGTACTGTTATAAATCAAACACTGCCCTCTTTGCATAGAGGGTAGGGTTTTCAACACAAGTGGATTTTACTTGCGCGCAATTGCGAGCAATTCCGTAATAATTGCATGCAATTCCATTCTACTTTCTTGCATTTGTGTTTCAATTTTTTTATAAAATTTAATTTAAACCTTATGGCACGCAATAAATGCAATTAATTATTGCGCAATTCTTTCAACAACAAAAAATTCAATTTAAACTTTGTTAGTGGCATACCACAAACTGAACTTCACTAACATTTCAGTGTCAAATGCTAAGAAAGTTGAACTTAAACTTCTTTTGTAATATTCATTTGAAGTATGATAACCAGAAAACTCTGGCATAGGAAGACGACAGTTTAGATTAAGCAGACCCATGTAACTGGATAAGTGAATTGATAAGTTACTAATTAATTTAGTTTGACTTGTAACTACATCAAATACACTATAATGTTGTCTTTCTGTTCCATAGTTTTCTGGTTCTCACTATAGCAAAATATCTATTTTGATTAAACGAACCTTACAATTTTAACCAAAAAAAATTCCATTTTAATGTTTATCCAATGTGAACAAATGAAAAATGTAACATATTAAATTGTTAATTAGTAGTTTAACCACAAGAAACTTTAAAATTTGAATACTGTTGAAACAAGTGACACTCGGGCCTCGATTATTTTAAAATAAACAGAGATATTTCATTCCATTCTTGTATCTGCTGCATAAATTTGTAAGTCAAACAGTTAAAATTATTGATTTTTAGATGCACGCAATTTCGCGCAATTCTGCGAATATTTAATTGCTTCCTTTTTTGCAATTAGACCGCAATAGCGCGCAATGAAATAGCCCAAGCTGAAGCAACCATTGCGCGTAATTCCGCGCAACGGAATTCCGATTGGAAACCTAAAGGAGGGTGACTTGAAATTAGACTTACAGGACCTTTAATAGTTAAATATAGGTTTCCCGTTTAATTTCATGATTTCAAATTGAATAAATATGTCAAAAACAACATTTTACAATTAACACATATTTTTGGGAAATACCTCTGGCTTGCTGTCGTCTAATGAGGTGTTTATCATCATATATTCTTCGTAATACCCTCCCAACCATTCCTCTCTTTTCCTCCCATAAACTGATCTATTAATTGTTTTGGAATTATTATTTCCAAGGGCTTCTGCTGTTAGATTTGGAATATGTGAAGGATTCACTATAACTGTACTGCGAATAACCTCTGGTGAGAGATTAGATTCTTTGGAAGGCTGGTTATCAATATCTCTTGCAAAATTTGGATTGACAACAGGATTGGATAAAGTGTCAGTATCAGTTGATTTATTATTCTGAGAATCTGGGAGCCCTTGATTATCAATAGCTTCCGCCATTTTGACAGGATGTCTCAAATCTACCGTTTGTGTATTTGCTGAGTAAGCTTTAGTCATTTCTTCATCAGAGCTTGATTTACTTCTCCAACTCTGGCATATTCCAGCGAAAGCTTTTGAACTAAAATAGGGGTTTATATTGCACACATCAATAGTTGTGTAAAAAAAATATTTTTTTAATATTAGCAAATTTATCTCAAGCAATAAAAATCAATTTCATAAAGTAACTACAGTCAGAACCAGAAAGTTCTGGAATAGGAAAACAATTTTTATACTCAAGGTCTGACCTTAATCCAAGAACATGAGACACACCAATTGTGTAGTGTAAAATGACCCATTTTAATAATGATAAATGATTTAATTACATGTTAAGTAAATATATTTGATTTGTTTAAAAGGACTTTTTACTAATTTTTCAAATTACTCAAATATCAAAAGTGTTCATATTTTAGTATATAATAGCTAACACATAATAACATTAAAATATGATAAATTTAAATTTATCTGCCTACTGTTGCTGAAAAACTTCTAATATACTATTTCTGACAAAGGTACCATAACTTTGCGCTCAAATTCTTAACAAAAAATCGGCTTTTTCTCTGGCTAATACCAATCAACTGCAAATAGGCTGTTTAGTTTACCCTGAAATTACCCAAATAAGTGATCAGTCAAATCAAATACACTGAGGTAATGCTTTTATCTTGCCTTCCTAGTCCACAGTTTTCAAGTTATCACTATATGTAAAATATTGCTTTGAATTTACCTGTTGGATAAATCTTTAGAGGTGAGTGTAGATGAAGGAATAGTGGGGTTGATAATAGGAGTCCTAATAACTGTTGTTGTTTTCCGGTAAGCGCTAGGAGAACATTCTACGGAAGAATTGTTGTGAATTCTTCCACTTGTGGATTTTCCAGTCCATCTTGACTCTGATTCTTGGGAAAGATGAAGCCCATCAGAAAATGGATTTGCAAGTATTGCTAATTTAGGTGGAGGTAATAGCTTGAAAAAAACATCTTGGCGTTTAGCCTTTTCCAATAAAAATCTCCTTGAAGCTCTTACCAAAGACTCAGATTGATTGAGTGTGAGGTCCTTATTGAATGGAAGGGCTTGTGAGGGGAACATTTTTCTCATTGATTTGATTTGAAATGTTTTATTTTGAATCATTATATCTCTGTTATTCTTTGTAGAAGAGGTGGTGCAAATCACTGGTGTAGGTATTGAACTGAGAACTGTTGGGATTGATTTCAATTTTTGTTTGAGAGAAAAATGAGAACTGGATGATGGGTTGTTTGACCGATAAGTAGCCAGATCAGTAGAAAAGGCAGCTATGCCAGATTTCAAGTTTAGATTTGTTTTCATCTTGGATGGAATATGGGATCTAGGAAACAATAAATAAATAAAATATTAATAAATATAAGATTTCTAATAAGAAAATAATATTACTAATTTTCGGCAATAAATACTGCTAAATGATGTACTTAACCAAGTAAAATCATATTTGTTAATCAATTTCCTGAACTTTAAAATGTTTGATGATTGTCATATTATTATTAATCATTGTCTTAGTAATTTCTCAAGTAACACGAATTAGGAATTTCCCCAGATTCTCCAACTGCGGTGACTATCTTTAAAGAATTTCCATGGAATTTCTCAAGAATAATTTCCTGTAACTGATTCCTCTGAAATTCTCGAGAAATCACCCAGAATTGTTTCCTAAGATGAGAGATTTTTGTGGGATCATAGTTTTGAGACTCAGTTACGGGAAGTTCCTGAGAAATTCTTAGAATTTTTCACCCCTGAAATTCCTCAGAATTTCTCTTGAATACTTCTCCGGAAATTCCTGAGAAATACTTAGGAATTGGTAACCATGTTTACGGATTTTTAGGGGAATATATTGATAAAATTAGTTTCGAGAAATTTATAGGAAAATTCTGAGAATTTTTCCTGATTACTTCTCTGGAAATTCCTGAGAAGTTCTTAGTACTTGGTCATTAAGTTTACCGATTTTTAGGGGAATTAAATAAGAGACTTAATTTTTAGAATTTTTCTCAAGAATTTCCAAGAATTTCTCCAGAAATTCTCAGGACTTCATCACATAATTTCAAGTTCCGTTTTTCTCCAATAGGTGTCTCTGAGGTTCTCTTCTATTATGCATTACCCTAAATCTTTTTTTCTTTGCATCCTTATTGATAAAAAATGATAATTTACTTTAGAACCATCTTTAAAAAAAAAAATTTGAAATTTTTTTTCATGATTTTTATTTTCTTGACAATTCCGTTGTCTAAATAAACAAAATACTTGACAACTTCAGTAAGATCAAAAACGACTATAACATTCTGACTTGGTTATTCTTCTGAAAAGTTGGAGTGGCAATATAGTTGTTAAGTTATTCACTACTAATGGGTTTACGTCCTGGTTAGTGAATATACTCAGGAATATGCTGAGAATATTTTAAGATATTCCTGAGGAACTCTTGAGAAAATCTTGGGAATAGTTCCCAGGAAATTCCCAGGAATTGGTTCTGAAGAACTTTTCTCTGAAAAACCCAAGAATTTCCTCAAATTTTGTCGTCTTTTTCTCAGGTTTTTCTGCAGAATTGGTAGCAAGAAATTCCCTGTAATTGGTGACAAGAAATTCCTTGGATAGAGTTGTGAGAATTTCCTCGGAATGGGTTACGTGAAATTCCTCGGAATAGCTGTTGACAGTTTCACTGGATTTTCCTGTGAAAGATTCCTGGGAATTTCCGCAGATTCGCGGATTCCCAGGAAAAATTCATGTGAATTTCCAAAGATTTTCCGCAAATTTGTTACTTGGGTTAATAATGCAATCCATATGAACAAAAAATTAGTATCTTGCCTGTGATGGAACATAGGAACTACAGAAGTATCAGAACCTATTCTTTTCAGTTTTTTCTTGAACTAGACCTACAATAGATTAGAAGTATTAAAAGAGAAATTTACGTATTTAAAGGGAGTTTTTGCGAAAAATAAAAGAAGGTATTGGCTTAAATCGAAAAATGTTCGAGAGTGATTGCTACTAATCTTACTTCTATTTTTTTTGTACTCATAATATATTTAATTTTTTGTATACAAGGCACTTAAAACGACAACTTTTTGTCCACTTGGTTTCTCTCCCTCGTGGAACCACAGAATGAGAAACATCAAGAGCAGAGACACCTGGTGGCCATCTAATCGTCGTTTAAATTACATCATATAAAAAATAAATAAAATTTATTATGATATATCAACTGTGTATGAATGCATTGAAAAAAATTGATGAGTATAGGATGTAATATTTGAATTATTTGTTTGGTAAATTCATTTTTTTACAATCTGAGTCAAATTTGTATGGATGCTATACATTCTTTCGTATGAGTTGTTTTTAACAATTTTCTTCTTTCAGAAGCAACAGATAGAAGTAAGATTAATAGTGCTCACCATCGAATATTTTTCGAAGTTAGCTTAGACCCCCTTTCAATTTTCGCAAACACTCCCTTTAAGAAAATTAAATACTTATATGTGTTAATTTCCAAACGCAACTTCCCAATGGCAATTTTCCAATCAGTACTTTCCCCAACCACTAATTTACCCAGTCACAACTTTTATTAACACTTTCCCCGTGCAGTAAAATAAAGTAATTTCTGTTTTTTACCATGATTCTAATGAATTTATCATATCTTGGAAAATTGATAATCAAAAATTCTTATTATCTACAATGTTTGTATATTTGTTAATAATTTAGTTGATTAAAGTAAAGATTATTTCAATATTTTAAAACATAATGGCTGTTCAATTCATTTAAGAATGTTACTGCAGGGGAATTATGAAACTAATATTGGCGAAATTACTTGCCTGGGTGAGTTGGTGCTGGTAAAGTACCTAACACCAAAAACTCTAAAATATATGGTAATACCTTTTTTTGTTCATCACTTAAGATAAGACCAGTCTTCATACCAACATTTTGGCATTTTCTATACCTAAACAGGGGCAGTAAGCTTAACTGTAAGTAACCCTTCATGCAAAGATGGTAATGCCTGATTCACAATTTTACCAATTGTACCCTTGAAACCTCTATCTGATGAATAATGTGGAAGATATTTTTGATTTTCTAGGTTTATTTTGTTTAAATTAGAAAAATGTTCATATGTTTTCAGGAGAAATACACCATTTTTGTAAAAAATCAACAGTGATCAGGCAAATCTTTTAATTGAACATGACAAGGATAAATTATATAATAATTATAATTATATTGATTAAATAGCTGATCTAGTATAAATATTTAATCAGCGATTTGGAAAACATTTAAAGGGACTGTAAGCGAAATTAGGTTGTTTAATCGTTTTTAAAAACGATTGGTTCTGTTTCGTTTTTCAATCGTTTTGAACTTTAAGAAAACAGACCGTTTTGTATACCATTGTTTTTTAAAAAACGATCGTTTTTGAAAAAAAAATTATTGACAATTATGTTAACGATCGTTAACAAAGGGTCATAGATAATGATAGTTAACAAAGGGTTGTCATTAACGATCGTTAACAAAACAGCAAACTTTATAAAAGCGGTAGTTTTTTTAAAACGATTGTTTTTGAAGGAAAAAATTACATGCAATTTTATTGGATGTCGTCTTACATAAAGTTAAACAGTGGTGGGGGAACTAAAACAATTCCAGATATTTTCTTAAAAACTACTCAATGATTAGTACATGTTGAACTTCAGGTCGGTTTCCTCTCTTCGTTAATTATCTCTAACAAAGACCCTTGCATGTAATTTTTTTTTCGAAAACGACCATTTTTATAAGACGAAATTTAGAAAAACAATTGTTTTTTAAAACGATCATTTCGTTTTCGATTTTTCGTCGTCATTCTCATAACGAAACGATTGTTTTTCAAATAATGTAAAAGTTAACATCCCTAAGCGTAATTTTAAGTGACCTACTGTAAATTTAAAGAGAGGCATCCTTAAATTACAATGGAACCCTTGAAAAAGGATATTGGACTTTTCCCTATAAATCTAAAGAAAAGCTTGTATTTGATGAATACTTTAATGCAAAGCTATTATTAAAGAAAATTGATTTTTAGGAACTTCTAAGAAAATTATTTAAAATGTTAAAATAATGTGTGATTGTCATGAATAACTGTGACGTCATCTGCATTCAGTTTCAACAGCACACTAGCTTACACTCCTAATTTACAGCTTGTCACTCAACATTTAACCCTATAAAGGCTGGGAGGTCTGAATCTATTTGTAGCCTGGGGGGGCCACGCCCCCCCCCAAAAGGGCCATAGAATAGATAACAGAGTTGAAATGCATGTATATAGCCCAATTTTTCAAGGCCAGCTCATTGAAAAAAAATATATCGATAACTTTAATAGTTTGGGTGCTAGGGAGGTTTGAAAAAAATGCAAAAAAAGGGTAAGAAAAATTTAAGAAAATATTTGTTTTGTTTTAAACAAATATCAAAGTGTTGCACATGCTTCTACATCCATTTTTCAAGGCCTTTTCAAAAATAAAGTTTTTAGATCTTTAGCTTTTGTCACTAAAAAGTTATGGGCTATTTTAAATTTTTACAGTCCCCATAATTATTAAAAGTTGTAGTTACAATCTAATTACATAAATAATTACCTGCAAACAGCACACTGTTTTCTCTCTTCAAGTTTAATATTACAATTGCCTCCAAGCATACAGTAAGTATCTATTCCACGCTTTGTGGCTCGTCTATAAAACAGTAGGGTTTAATTTAACAATTGTAAGTCAAGTTGTAAAAATTTAATATGTGTAATCTGAAAATCTAGATCTTTCAAGATGAACATTAAGAATTTTCAATAATTCGATTTCCCAAAATTACGCCGTAATTTCGAGTAATTTCTACAAAAGTAATTTCCGCGAAATGTTGCAATAATTATGCCTAATTAGCGAAACCTCCATACAAACCAGCCTACAGGAGAACATTTTAACCTTCCTGGACATGAACAGAAATAAAAGTTTTTATTTATTTGTAAACTGTAATTCAGAATTTTTTAAGAAAAAAAGAGTATTTTTTATTGCCAATTCTTAAAATGGTTTAAATACACTTCCTTAGACAAGCCGCCCCCCTTGATTTACGTAAAAGTTCGTTAATTATAGATCGACCCCCACCACCACTTTATATACAATACATATAACCCAGTTTGGTTTTTAATCTTTATTCGACAGAAACAATCTCAAAGAATAACACTTGTCTTAAAACATTTTCTAAACAGTGAATATTTGCAAATTATCTTTTTCAATCTCATGATCTGAGTTCGTTTCCCTTATGTCCATTTGACAGTCATTTAATTTTTGTTTTTAAATAATCAATTTTGTTTGTTTATTTTCTCGTGGTTTTTAACATCGATTTTGAACGTACGTTAGAGCTGACAAGGGTCAACCCCTCCGAAATATATTTTCAATAAAATGTGGAATTAACATCTACTTTTTTTCTCTACAGAGGTTTGGTCCATCACCATAAACGAATTTTAATTCAATTTGAAAGTATTTAAATTATCCAATCAGATTGGACATGGTTGTATCGCATATATCCTTACACATATTTTCTGAGAATGAATATGTACTTTACTAATTACGAAATGGTTTTGTATTACGTAATTTCGTGTAATTACGCCTTAGTTACGCAAAACTAGACTTTCTTCCCTATACATAATTAGCCCATAATTTCGCGTAATGCTCCTCCGTAAGTGAAAGAAAGTGTTACGCGCAGGGGTCAATATAATTCCCAAAAAAGCTGATTTTCTCGATCCCAAAATTATTTTTTGCCCCCAATTTTGAAAAAAATGCCCCCAATTTTTAAAAAAAATGCCCCCAGTTAAATTTTTTTTTTCAAATTCCACTAACACATTTGCCCCCATTGCCCCCAATTTGAAAAAAATGCCCCCAATTTTTAAAATAAATGCCTTCAATTAAAATTTGTTTTTCAAATTCCACTAACACATTGGCCCCCATTGCCCCCAGTTTAAAAAAAAAATGCCCCCAATTTTTAATAAAAATGCCCCCAATTAAATTTTTTTTTTCAAATTCCACTAACACATTTGCCCAATTGCCCCCAATTTTTTTTAAAATTATCATTTAAAAAAAATTGCCCCCAATAAAAGACTTTGCCCCCATTTCTTTCAAATTTGTCAATCCCAAATGGGATTGAAAAAGGAATTATATTGACCCCTGGTTACGCGTAATTACATGTAATTACGTGTAACGTAATTACATGGAAACCCTACCCAAATTTACCAATGTTTAACTTAATAATAACTTCATGAATGTAAAAGATGTTTGTTTGAAAGCAAACACACAAAAAAGATAAATCTAAAATAAAAGATGAATTATAAAATAACCTGAAAAATGCTCTACAGCTGTAGCAGCAGACTCCACCGTAATGAACTCTAGGTTTATCTATGGACTCATCGCATACTGCACACATACTAGTACCTTCTCCAACCATACTAGTACCATCTCCACCCCTCCTAGTACCATCTCCACCCATACTAGTACCATCTCCATCAATACTAGTACCATCTACACCCATACTAGTACCATCTCCATCAATACTAGTACCATCTACACCAATACTAGTACCATCTCCACCCATACTAGAACCATCTCCACCCCTACTAGTACCATCTCCATCCATATTATTACCATCTCCACCAATACTAGTAGCATCTCCACCCATACTAGTACCATCTCCACCCATACTAGTACCTTCTCCACCCATACTAGTACTTGCTTCGTCCATACTATGAAAAGCTCTACTCATCCATGTAATGTTTTCACTTGATGGTGGTTTTTCTTCTGGTACATTTTTTCTTTCTTCTCCAGGTTGCTCAGCCATAGAAATTCCCAATCTGTAAAAATTTAGACAATTTAAATAATTTGCAAGTTTTAAAATATTTCTGATGATAAATCAATTTTTAAAAATAAGATTCAGTGCAGGATAATTAATTGTAGAATTAAAAAGTGTATTAATTTTTTTCTTTTTAAGTTTATGTCAATATTATTTTTATGATTATTATTTCCAATATAAAAGTTAAACAAACGTATGAATGAATATATATTGTAAATAACTTTTAGAAATGTTTTTGTATATACATATATCTCTCTTAGCACTAAACTAAAACTTGTTTTAACAGATTGCAGTCACATCTTTACTCTAGAGCAACCCAACCTATACTGAGTTTGTAATCATCCTATATCAAATCTCAGCCATCAAACCATATATAAATATATATATAATTATACAATACAACTTTGCGATCAAATGATATAAAGTACAAACACAGTACATTGATATCACATTAAACAAAGTAAACTGCACAGAAGATTCAAATTTTAAATGTTTTTTAAAGTGTTAGGTACTTTCCTAAAGGCATTTTCCCCAGGGCGACTTCCCAAGTGACAATTTCCCAAGAGGCAACTTCCCAAATGTGCAATTTTCCAAGCGGCAACTTTCCAAAAGTTAGGTTAGGCCCTTTGAGGCGCCACAGGCTGCAATGGGGGCCGAGCGATGCAGCTAGGATGTGCTAGGGGACCGAGCACCGCGGCTATGAGCAGGAAGGGGCCAAACGAAGCGGCTAGGATAGGCTTTGGAAGTTGTCGGTTGTCGGAATTACATATTTGGGAAGTTGCCACTTGGGCAAAATTCTTTGGGAATGTAACTAACATCTTTTTTCATTTTTTTTTTATCATAACTCCCCTTATTGAAGAAAAAACGAACAAAAATGTGTTGTATTGCAATAATGCAATATTACAATATTGCAATAATACCAAAGAACAAAAATGTTCTGTATTGCAATAAGGCAATATTACAATATTGCAATAATACCAAAGAACACAAATGTTCTGTATTGCAATAATGCAATATTACAATATTGCAATAATACCAAAGAACAAAAATGTTCTTTATTGCAATCAGGCAATATTACAATATTGCAATAATACCAAAGAACAAAAA